ATCTGTTCCCACTGTAAATTCAGGCACTATTGCTTTCTTCAATTTGTAGACTGTATGAGGGTACAGTCTATGCATTGCCCAACTTACTGTTGTTTGCACTGAAAAAAATTGAGCATTCACAGAAGACTCAGTTGCTGTTTTAATTATTTTTTTAGTGGAATCTACATTACTGGAATTCTTTAAAGACTTTATAGAGAGTCATATTGATAAACATGGAAGTTTTGCAATGAAATCTGTATTTTCTGAGAGGAACTTAAGCACTTTGTGTAATAGGGCAGGTGTGCTAGGGCTGGCTAATTCACATGCAGGATCTAGCTCTGAATGTGAGACCCAAGTCTTCCATTACAGATAACTGCTATCTTTTTGCCATCATCCACTCAAACTTGCTCAGGTAATTAATACCATCATCAAGTAGCTTGAGATAAAATTATCCATATCTATTAGAAACACCGCATGTTGGGTTTTATATTTTTGTCTCCCTTTGTGCCATATAATAATCAGCTAATATTTTATTCATATTCATAATAGCAGGAAAATTTAATTGTAATGTGTCTAAATTATTGTCTTCTCTGAGTTGTTCTAGGTAATTAAAACAAATTTTGAATGCAACTTCTCAGTGTAAAGAGAATTTCTTTGCTACATTTTATGACCCAGAGAAAGCCAACTCTGTTTTCTTTCCTGAAAATTGCTTTTATGAAAGGTCCCTAAATCCATGAGGCTTTTTCTGTTGTCAATCCACACCTATGAACTGATGATAAACTAACCTAACAGGTATTCTCAATGGTAATTCTAACCAAGGGAGGAACAAATAGAGCCAGGATTGGTCTCTATAAATATGTACCTCACAATAATTGAGACTGGTGCAGGCAGTGGTACAGTAGTATTTGTAATGACACAGTACTTCTGTGAGATTTTTAGATGCAGGATGAGGCACATTTCCTCTGTCCACCTCACCATTTTCTGGCCTGCTTTTCCTGCTGTGGCGGCTGCCCCTCGTTGGCAGCCAGAGGCCCACCCAGCTGTGCTCCCTGTTCCCCTCCTTAATGCAATGGGGGAGGGAAGCGACATGAAAAATTGGTTGGCTGAGATAAAAACAAAGCACCTGGGCAGTGTTTTTTGCTCTTTATTAAATAACCTCTCCCTGGGGTGCCACCTTTGTTGCCAAGGGGCTCAGCTGCATCCTGAGGTGGGTCTGCCGTGGAACCATCTGGAACCATCCGGAAACAGTGTGAGGCAGCCCCGGCTTCTCCTCACAGAGACACATGGCTGTTTGGGTGCTCCTTGCCCTGGGGACTGCGCTATTCTGGAAAGCTGCTGTTTTTGCATACTCAAACAACTGAATTTATTTTTTTTGGGGGGTGAAGCCACATGCAAGGACCATGTAGCAAAACCATCTGTTGAGCCAACTGGAAGAAATCTGTAAGAAACATTCTTATCAGCAACAAATTGGAAATTAAAATTAGAAAGCAGTTAATGACTAAAGAACCTGCATTAGACTTTGAAGATAATTGAGCTCTAAAAGATATTCCAGGTTTACTTTATGAAAAGCTTCAAATTTATGATATAATTTGGTGTGGTCCATTGGCTGGCTGGCTGCAAAGTAAAAACAGACATTTATATGCAAAGAAGGAATGTGGCTATCCAGAATCATTTCACCAAAAGCAATAAATGAACGGAAACAACCGTCCTGTGAAGAGAAACCTTTGAAACTGCTTGAAGTAATGGTAAGGTTGAGATTGGTAATCTTTTCCTGTAAATGTTATTGCTGACTACCGTAGTGGAAAGAAATCAAGTCTATATAAATTACAAAAGAATACTTAAAAGAGGTTTGAACAGCTTAGAAAAGCTTACTAAACTTCCGATTAAATCCTTAAGAGTTTGAGTGGACAAACAGGCTAAAATCTGTTCCTGCCTGCAGTTTTCAGTGTTACATTGCTTCGTCTTGTTTTATTGGTGTGCTTAATTTTATCAGTGTTTCTCAGTTACCTTAACAGCAATGGCCAAGGTCTGCTTTGTATACTATCATGGCAATTTTTGTTGTGAAGCATGAGGTTCTTATGAACCCTTGACTATCCTTTGTAGTTTGTGTGTATTCTTTTGTCAGAAATGAGATTGGGATTTAGTCTTTGGAATTCCTGAAAATACGGTTGGTTAGATTATGATGAATGTAACTTTATCCTTATGAATGTAATTTCCCAACTTTTAAGTTGAAATATGAGAAGCATAGTCAGTCTTATCAGGTTTTCACATAATACCTAGCTACAGAGCTCTGCAGGATTTTATTTATTTATTTATTTTGTCAGTTTGCCCAAATCTATCTATGCTTACCATTTTTCTTTCAAGTTATGTTGTTGTAATCAGACAGGAACTTAGATACTTTCTGAATGTTAAATTACAGTCTGTTGCTATCAAAAGAAAGAGTGCAGTATCTGTCATACATCAGTCAAGTTTTATATTAAAAACAGGAAAGCCTATCTAGTTTTTGTTTGTTTGTTTTCTTTATTGAAAGACTGAAATCTCACTCTTCTGATAGTTAGACACAATCTAATTTTCCACTGGTTTTATTTACAGCCTGTTTAAGGTAATTTTTTCTGTGCCAGTATTGTCTTTTTCTTAAATACTACTTTCCATTGCATGTGCTTTTTGTTTTCTTAAGGTAAAGTATATTTTCCCTGGTGCTTTTTTTGTTTTTGTTTTGGGGGTATGGTTTGTGTAAGACAAGATCTAGGCAAGCATTTTTTTGTGTATCAGCCAGATAAAGACAGGTGGTTGTGAATAGGTGCTGCAGGCTTTTAATGTCTTCTACAGAATGGTTAGGACCTACAATTTACTGTGCAAAGACTAATAAAAATGAAGTCTTCTGTCATCTTAATAAAATGAAGCAGACAACATGTAACACTTTTTTGGACATGTTACTGGAATATTTTTGGCAAGGAGGACTCAGAACCAGTGGACTTAATGATACTTATTAATAACTGCAATAGATCTATTGTGTCTCCTATTCTCTTCCTGCAGATTTCCACAGGTTAAGAAAACAGACAAATGTTAGATCAAGCTTTGCTTTAGATCACTTGCAATTTCTGTGAAAGCAGCTGAAGTAGTTATTTTAAACCTAGGAAAGCCTTTGTTCTGTCCAGTGAGAAATGTATCTACTTAATATTGAGACAGAGATTAAGAGCAAGTTATCTTGAATTTAAAAGTGAATTTGCTGGAATTTCACAGAAAAATATTTCTATTCTTTCATTCCCCAAAGCAATTAACATAGTTTTGATGAGTCAACATTTACTTAGATAAATCTTTCTGTCAGCAGTTTATAACTGTATCTAAAGTTTTATCTAGCTTTAATGTAGTTCAGAAATAACACTGCCTTTTCCTTCCTAGTTCTCCTCACATCATACACAATCCTAAAATTATTACATTGGCTTCAGAGTCCAATGTTCTTCAAGGCCTCAAATGTGAAGGGGCATGTTCCCCCATAACACTTCAGCTGTGCTGATGCCATGAGTCAGTTGTCTTCATGTCAGAGCATTTATTGACTGTTAAGCCAACAAATCTAGTAAAAAACATCATTTTTATCTAGTAAAAAAAAAACATTTGGAAAGGCTTGATAGAGAAATTACTTGAGAAATGAGGATGAGCAAAGTAAGTAGATGCTAAAATGGACTGTGACACTATTTACAAATGGTGCGATGAGACATCTTGCTTACAACATGAATACTTCTACTTATATCCTGCAAGTTTAGCTATGAAAGTAGAATTCATAAGTGTAACAAACGACATAGATGTGATGATAAACATCCATTGTTATAAGGAATTAGAATTCTGACCTAATTCCTGGTAGGATTTATCACCAACTTATAAATAACTTACAGATATAAGATGTGGCAATATCTTATAATAAATAAATAAACAGAAATAAATAAGCAGAATAAACAAAGTGCTCAGAGACTTCAGCCCCTGCTACTACCACTTTCTCAGGGGAAAAAAAAGAAGAAGAAGAAAATGATGTTAACGTCTGTGCCCAAGTCCATTTTCTGGCTGGCTTAACTCCCTTTAAGAGTTGGGTTTAGGGATGGGTAGAGTGGGTGCAAATGATAACTGTCTCTCTGATACATTTATTACTGTTTTTACCGATGTCATGGTGAAGAGAGAATTGCAAGTATAGAATGCAGCTGCAGTCTAAACTGACCCTTTTTGTCATCATGTATAAGAAGTTTTAGTATGGTTTGCCCTAATGACGAAGTTTTAGTAACTAATTCTGATTTTTTCCATCAAAAGAAGATTGAGATATGCATGATATAATCTTGCTTTCCAGGTTTCGGGAAGTAAAAAAAAAAAAAATATGTGGCTATATGTGGCTTTTTGCCCAGCAGATGTTTTCGTACACCTGGATGTGAGGGGGTGTGTGTGCATATATACCTGTTTATATAAAACTGCATATGTTTTGTCCTTTTATACTTTATTTAAAAAAAATGAACTATCAAAAATATCTAACATAGTACCTCATGCCGTGATCACTGAGAAAATGTATTTAATGTCCAAGGCACTAAGGCACTCTTGCCTTTAAAAAAAAAAAAAAAAAAAAAAAGGAAAAGAAAGCTCTTAACAGTGCATTAGAAGATATGTCAATTATACTATGATAGTTCCATACTTGTACTCTTTAAATGTGGTTGAGAAAAGTAAAGGAACAAATTATAAACAAATCTTCCCGTGATTAGTATCAAATTTGGGAGTCTTTTTTTCCTTATACTCTACCCATTTCATTCTTCAGGGAATGTGGTATTTTCAATCTATGAAAAGATATCCTGATGTGAATGTACATCTGTCATTTGCTTAGATTTAAAACCTGCTGTGACCCTAGTCCAAGTGAATGGGCTGGAAGTGGTAACCCTGGCAAGGTCTGTTACCACAGTACTAATGGGAGCTTTTTTTCTTATTCTTTGTTCACTGTGATAATGAACAACTTCCCTCCTTTTTTTTTTTTTTTTTTCTTTATACAGCTGGAAGTTGAGGTCACAGATTTAAGTGGAAAAGTCATTGATGGGCCAGTCCGCCTAGATATTTCCGTTATTGATCAGAATGATAACAGACCAATGTTCAAAGAAGGACCTTATGTTGGTCACGTCATGGAGGGATCCCCTACAGGTAAGTCCATGCCAGTCATATATCTGTATAGGCATACTGAAATGAAATCTGGATTCAAATACATACAATTTTGTGAATATTTAATAGTCATGGAAGCTTAATGTGGTGATGTGCTTTGCTTACTCTGAATGAGGATAGATATTCCCTTTCAATTCCTTGTATTGTATGTTGATAGGACTAGAACTAGGTGTTATACTTTGTTCATACTTTATTATTTATGCAGTTCCTAGAAATCATGTTGACTTTTTAGTGAGTTTAGCATTTCTGCATATAATTGCTATTGTTTGATCAACTGTAGCTGTGATTAAAAAAAAATAAATCACGTTTCATATAAAGTTTACTTTCGTTGTGACAAGTACGTAACAAACCAACAAGGCAACTTAGACTATTTCTTCATTCAAGCAAGGAACATGCTTCATATTTTATAATTATGGCTGCCATTTGGAACACTATCTCTTTCCTACTGTAGTTCTCTATCACATTATTGATTTACTTCAGATATTGATTGCTTACTAAGAATTCAAAAAAAACTTCCTTACACTGTTCTACTTCCATTCTCCTTGTGTTGTAACTAGTTTCATCATAAACTTAGGATACATTACTATCAATTTTCTCTGAAATTTCTAAGCATAAATCATTCAACAGTATGGAACACTAGAATCACTAAGCACATCACTGGACCAACTTTATTTTCTCATTCATACTACAGCTTCTTTTTGTTATACCTACTTAAATAAACATTACTAGACCACTGATGCAGGTGGTGTAGTTCTACTAAATTCAATGCCCCCAAATCCAGCGTTTCAGCAACAGAAAATGATATGAAACAGCTCAAACTCTGCAGTGTTTAAGCCTCTAATGTATGAGCTGTGTGCTTCTGCAACCCTTCAAGTAGTCTCATTTCTCTGCATCAAAGCAGAAGCTTAGTCCTCTTATGCGCTAGGTGCCCTTCACAGACAATATGTTGTGTAATATTTAGCTGTGATTTAATTCCAGACTATGGGACGATATTTGATTGGTATTTGCTGGATGTTCTTTCTTTCCTCAACCTATATACAAAACTTCTTTTCACTGCTAAGGATTTTTTTTTTTTTTAATTGGCAGTTCTGTTTTTGCTCATCAACAATTCTTGCTTTTTTTTTCCTTTTATTGAAATTTCTGCTTCTAATTCAGTATGTGTTCCTCAGTCCAACTACCACTGAATTCTTTAATTCCATAATCCATTTTCTCTTGCTTCTTTTTGATATTTTTCCATGTAACATTTGACATCATCATTGTCTTACCAGTTAATCAAAGTTTAAATAATTTTGTTCAACATCTTTTTGTGTTATCCTCTCCCTCTTTCCCCCAGGTATTCATCCTGTTAAACTTCATAAGCTCATTTTTTTTGTGTGTCAGGAACAACAATATTTGTAAAATTATTTTGTGCAAAAATGAACCTGTGTAATCAATGTCAGCAAGAATCTGTCATAGCTCTGTACGCAGAGCTATGGCATCTGCTCAACAACAATTTTACATTGTTTACATCTGTTTTCCATGCTTCTCCAAACTTTATGGCATGTATCTTAAATTTATTCATCAGGTTCTGCTGTTGTGCTGCTCCCAATCAATAGTTCCACTGCACAGCTTGATAGAAACCTTTATGTTCATGCGTTTGCATGTATGATTCTTGATTCCTTCTTATTGTATTAATATTGTATTGTTGTGTTTCTACTCTGAAACTTTTAAAAGAAAGGGTTTGCATGCTATGTATAACCTGAATTCCTATCACAGGCATCTTCATTCCAGCTAGAAATCAAACCCATTCATTGAAAAGTGTTTTTCAGTTAAAAAAAAAAAATAAAATAAAATAAATCACTAATATATATGTGTCTTGGATCTGTATTTAAGATCACTGGGTCAAGTAAGTGTCCGTGGGTTCCAATAATTCAGTGATTAGAGATATGTAATTATATAGGCAAAGATACATGCTGTGAAACTTGTCAGAAAGATTTTGATGCCTTGGTAATGGATCAGATGGGATTTAGGGATTATTTTGCTTTAAGTCATTAATTCCTGGGTTCCTGTGTGTTTTCTTGTGGGGCCATAATTTTAGCATTCACAAACCCTGGAATTTTCTAGTGGCTTTCCATATATTTATTTCCATGTATTTTAATTTTATTAAATTTTATTAAATTTAAACATGTACATTGTTTATCACTCACTGAAAATATTTATTGGAAATATTGGAGAACTACTAATTAATTTTGGAGAGAGTATTGGAAATTTAAATTCATAAATCTTTATTTTAATATTCAAATTAAGCTTTATGTTGGACTTCCTTCATGTTGCTCTAAGACATGTTCTATCTTTTTGTTTCCTGAAATACCATTTCTCCTTAGTTATTTGAAAGTTTAGTTCCTTAATTATGGAAAGACACAAACTTGCTTTTGCGGTGATCACCATATCAATAGTAATGCTAAAGTGATGATTGTCTCAATTTTTCTAAAAAATCGTGCATTATATTTTACAAGCTTAAAATTCTCTAAGTTAAGTTTACGGGAGAACAGTGAAATATTGTGCTATGCCCCTTTTAAGAATCTTCTTTTTTGTTGCCACTGAAACTAGTTACAAGTAGAAAAATCACAAGAACGCATGGAAACAGTATGTATTTATTTATTTTTAATTATTCATAAATTAGATGAATTTTGTGTATTGTCCCAGTGCAGATGTGTTTTGGTGGTGTTTTAAGATGTTATCTGTGTTGCTAAGGCCGTGCTTTTCACAGAATCACAGAATTTCTAGGCTGGAAGAGACCTCAAGATCATTGAGTCCAACCTCTGACCTAACGCTAACAGTCCCCACTAAACCATATCCCTAAGCTCTACATCTAAACGCCTTTTAAAGACCTCCAGGGATGATGACTCCACCACTTCCCTGGGCAGCCTGTTCCAATGTCTAACAACCCTTTCGGTAAAGAAATTCTTCCTAACATCTAACCTAAAACTCCCCTGGCACAACTTTAGCCCATTCTCCCTCGTCCTGTCACCAGGCATATGGGAGAAGAGACCAATCCCCACCTTTCTACAGCCTCCTTTAAGGTACCTATACAGAGCAATAAGGTCGCCCCTGAGCCTCCTTTTCTCCAGGCTGAACAAGCCCAGCTCCCTCAGCCACTCCTCGTAGGACTTGTTCTCCAGGCCCCTCACCAGCTTCGTCGCTCTTCTCTGGACTCGCTCATTGTTTTGATTCACCTTTAGTTTGTGTGATTTTTGAACTGACAGTAATCACCACTGGTTATTTTGATAGTTAGGATATGTATGGCATCACTTTATGGAAGATGTAAATGCCTGGGCATAGAGAATACAAAATATTATATTCATTACACTTAAAAAAAAAAAAAAAAAAAAAATCAAGCTAGGGCTTGCCATAACTTATAACTTATTTTCTGATTAACGTATTTGAATGGTAGCTGATATAGTAATATATTTATTGATATATTTTCATGGAGTGATTCCATGATAATAGGTAGTTATGGGTAATTGGTTTTAATGGAAAACTGTGAAATTCCTGAAAGAACCTTAGTCACACTCTAACAAATGTACACTCAAATATATGTTTAAATTTACTAAAGACAGTTTTAGTTTTAGATTTTTAAGGTATCCTTTTCCTGGACAAACAGCGAAGTTGTTGGCTATGTATTTTTTAGGTGAAAAAAAAATCTACTAGAGAAATAGGCTTTTATTTTTATTTTATTTTTACTTCTGTTGGTTACTGTATTCTCTAATTTCGAACAGGGTACTGAATTCAGCATCTATTGCATCAGGGAAATAATAGATGACCCTGAATCATTGACAACTATGGTGTGTTTTTTACTGACTGTAATGGGTTTTGTGGTAACTGTACTGCTGATTTCTCACCTTTTTGTTTTCTAAGTTATGACCCAGTTTATTTCCTATTGATCTCTGGTCTATCAAGCTGCCAACTCTAGGGTCTGTGCCCTACTGCTGATTCAGTGAATTAATGAATGACTTATTTTATGGATTATATAAGCAGAAGCATTTGGGTATGTCTCACTCCTTAAAGAATGAAAAGAGAAGGCTGGTTAAATGAACATGGCAGCCATCTCATTTCACTTGCTGGAGGCATTTAGCAGAAATTATTTTAAAACACATTTGACATTATGTGACTTGTAACAATACGCTGCAAGCCCAACAGGGTAAAATCTTAACTGAAGTGGTTGGAAAAATTGCTCAAGAATTGCATTTAAAAAAAAAAAAAGTCTTCAGCAATGAACAATAGCCTGAATACATTGCATTTCAGCTGAAGAGCCCCAAAGCAGGACTGATAGATGTCTACAAATAATTGCTGGAAATAAAGGAATGTTTAAAAATCTTCAAAGAGGCAAACAGAAGGAATTAAGAATAGTAGCCTAGAGGGATGTTCAGTATCACAAAACAATTATTTGTAAAAATTGATAAAACATGAGGAAGGGTCTGTAGTACTAAGTACTGTTGACAGCTGTGGGCTTTTAATAGGACATGGCTATGATTTGGATAAATAAAAACTGGTTCTTAAGATGGTGGCTTCTTATTGAGAGCAACCTGCTAGTATATTCTTTTCATAATTCAACTAACTAGCAGTTTAGTACACTTATGAATGAAAATGAGATTGGATATAATAGATGAGAATCAAAAGATACCAGGAAAGGTAAACTCCAAGTCTGGCTTAGCAAAATGGTGAGGATATATAACATAAAACCTCTTCCTTTGTCTCTTATGTGCCAGTAGTCATCCTCAATACATTGCAGATGCAGTAGTCTTTTCTGGCCTGTGGTTTTTAATTCCTTGATATGCCTTCTGATTTATGAGGTAAGGTTACCAAAGCTTTAAAATGACAAATTGTGTTGAATTTGGTGAGTTCTCCAGGACCACTTCTTCCTTGTGATGTGTAAATTCAGTAATATTGGGGGGAAAACCCACAGGGGTGCTTTTAAGAACTTTCACAAAGAGCCATCAGAA